AAGCCAACATGCCTGACCAAAATAAGGATTTTCTAGATCAATCCCTGCAGATGGATTCCTTAATATGTTGCCTTCTAGTGTAATCTTCCCTAAAGTTTCTTAGAAGATTCTCTTTTGGAGGTGGAGGACAGAAATCCACAGGACTTTACCATTAGGATTTACCTCTCACTTCTGGAAGGTTCTCAACCCACGTGCATATTGAAGGCTCAAGGAAGTTGTATGGAAAGGAAATCTGTCTTATTCTGCCACGCTGATTTTCCAGACTTTTTTTTCCATTATTAAGGAATTTATTGGGGGGAGGGGGACAGTCTTGCTCTGTCACCCAGAGTGGAGTGCAGTGGCCTGATCTCAGCTCACTGCAACCTCTGCCTCCTGGGTTCAAGTGATTCTCCTGCTTCAGCCTCTGGAGTAGCTGGGACTAGAGGTGTATGCCACCACGCCTGGCTAATTTTTGTATTTTTACAAAATACAAAGGAGACCGGGTTTTGCCATGTTGGCCAGGCTGGTCTTGAACTCCTGATCTCAAGTGATGTGCCCACCTCAGCCCCCCAAAGTGCTGGGATTACAGGTGTGAGCCACTGCACCCGGCCTTTTTCTCCATTATTAACATCACCAGAAACAGTGATTCCAAGGGCTCTGAAACCCCACCTTCACCAGTCCTGGCCAGAAGTCCTTATGTCTCACCCCTTCTCTGTCTATGTCAGCGTGACGTAGCCATCCCATGCCACCACTCTCTTTCTGACAGGACCCTGTTGTTTTCAGGTTCCTTCTGCATGAAGCTGGACCCGTTTAGCCAGTACTCAGATGAAGTCTGGACGTCCCTGGAGCTGGCTCACCTGAAGGACTGCTTGTCAGCCCTTCCCGATAGGCTGGACCACGAGTGCGCAGAAGGTGGACAGAACCTCAGGTAGGCAGGGGTAGACTGAGGAACACCAGGTAAGGTCTGCTAGGTGCCACCTCAGTAGGGGTGTTTGAATATTCTGTCCAGATCTGTGTCAGACCTGGATTTGAGTCCCAGTTGTGCTGCAGATGTCCCATTTGTCCCTTCAGCTTTTGGAGCCTCAGTTTCTCTATCTTGAAAATGGGTCTTAATACAGGCTCTTTGTACCATGAGGTAGAATAACCAGGATGGACAATGCATTTCCTTTTATACACACCAGCTCCATTCAGTTGACAGTGGCCATCAGTTGTTAAGCTATAGAAAGGCTTCTGTACCGGTTGGTCACTAGCTCTGCTCTGAGCCCCACGTCCCCAGCTGTCTTGGTCCTTCTCCCAGGATACTGGAGATCTGTCCATGACCCCGCAACTAGAGCATTAACGCCTGGCACAGCAGGGGAACCTCTGGGGTCCCATTCTGGTGTTGTCAGTGCCTGGTTCTGGTTTGGTTATCCGTCTCCATGACAACCAACCACAGAGTCTCAGTCACATTCAGCCGTAAAGCAGTGATCTCTGCTCCCTGGCAAGGGCAGTCGGGCAGTTGTCTGGGCTCACATCATGTCTCGGGATCAGCTGGCTGTCGGCTCATCTACTTGGCCTCAGGTGGCGCAAGAAGGGTACGTGTGCATTCCTCATTCTCCAGCAGACCAGCTTGGGCATGTTGTCATGGCGATCACAGGGGCACAAGAGCACACAAACTCCCATGTGCATCTCGCAGTAGTCTTCCGGCTGGCCTCATGTTTGCTAGCGTCCCATTGGCCAAAACAAGGTACACGTCTGAGTGCAGAGGCAACTGTCATGGCCCCACAGTTGGATAGGGATGCATGAATATGAGATCTTTTTATGTTTTTGAGGCAGGGTCTCACTCTGTCACCCAGGCTGAAGTGCAGTGGCACAATCTCAGCTGTAACCTCCACCCCCAGGCTCAAGCAATTGTCCTGCCTCTGCCTCCCAAGTAGCTAGGATGTCATGTGCCCACCACCATGCCCAGCTAATTTTTGCATTTTTAATAGAGACAGAGCATCAACACATTGGCCAGGCTGGTCTTGAACTCCTGGCCTCAAATGATCCACCCGCCTTGGCCTCCCAGAGTGCTGGGCTATAGGTGTGAGCCACTGTGCCTGGCTTTTTTTTTTTGAGAGACAGGGTCTCATTCTGTTGCCTAGGCTGGAGTACAGTGGCTCGAGCTCAGCCTTGAACTCATGGACTTGAGCAATCCTCCTGCCTCAGCCTCTGAAGTAACAGACTACAGAAGTGTGCCACCACATCCAGCTAATTTTTTTATTTTTGTTTTTTTGGAGAGAGGTCGGTCTTGCTTTGTTGCCCAGGCTGGTCTCCAACTCCTGGCTGCAAGCAATCCTCCCACCTTGGCCACCCACAGTGCTGGGTTTGTAGGTGTGAGCCAGTTTTGAGAATGATTATGAACCTGCATCTTGCTGAGTAGGAGATGTGTTCAGATTGATCAGTGATGTCTGCTGCAGGCACAGATGTTGGGAGTGGACGGGCTTTCCTAGTCAGGGAACACAGAGTGTCTCGTCTCACTTCTCCCAGCCTGCGTCTAGGTTCAGGGTCGGGGTGGTTTGACCCAACACTGTCTCCTGGTCTTTTAGGCAGCGCCAGCTTGTGTGCCTGGCTCGGGCCCTGCTGAGCAAGATGAATATTGTTGTGTTGGATGAGGCCACGGCGGCCGTGGACCTGGAAATGGGCGACCTCATTCAGTCCACCATTCAGACGCAGTTCAAAGGCTGCACTGTCTTCACCGTTGCCCACCGGCTCATCATCATCATGGACTACACAAGGTGATGTCCCTGGCACGATGGCACTTTGGGAGTTTGCCTTACTCACTGGCTTATTAAGTCATTCATTCAACACTGTCCCTATTCCTAGTGACAGACCCAGTGGGTGGATCGTCTCTTCATCCTGGATGATACCAGATATTTCTTTTTTGTTTTGTTTTTTGTTTCTGGAGACGGAGTCTTGCTCCATCACCTAGGCTGGACTGCAGTGGTGCAGTCTTGGCTCACTGCAACCTCCACCTCCTGGGTTCAAACAGTTCTCCTGCCTCAGCCTCCTGAATAAGCTGGGAGTACAGGCACGCATTACCATGCCCAACTGATTTTTGTACTTTTAGCAGACATGGGGTTTCACCATGTTGGTCAGGCTGGCCTTAAACTGCTGAGATTACAGGTGTGAGCCACCATGCCAGGCCCTAGCCAGGGTTTTTATCTATGGTGTTTTTCTTCTATTCTGGTTTCCTGTGGGAAGGGGCTGGGGTACTGTCAATCATGGGACCTGATCAGAGAGGTGGTCACATGACATAGCTTAGCCTATCAGAGTCTACTTTTCCTTCAGTTACTGTGATGAGTTCAGAGATGCATACAACATCCACAAAGGGCCAATCAGAACCTTCTCTGGGATTAATATGGGACTAATGAGCTGGAGAAACATTTTACGTGTTGAATTGCTAAGGTGAGATGATATGATGGCTAGTGGCCATCTGACCTGTCCTGGAAAAAGAGCATGTGCAAAATGCGACCAAACAGAGGTAAGCCAGTGGTTCCTAAACATTTGTGTGCATCAGAATTACTTGGAGGATTAAAACCTAGATTCATGGGCTGACTCACAAAGTGAGTTAGGCCTGGGCTGGGGCCTAAGAGTGTACATTGCTAACTAGTCCCCAGGTGAGACTGCTGCTGATCCTGGGGCCGCACTTTGAGAAGCTGCCTGTGTCTGCTGCCCACCCACTGCAGGGTTGTCTGCCCACAGGCTCAGCCAATAGCCCTGGCAGAAGTAGGCCGCTTGTTGGCAAAATAAGAGGAAGAGCGCATAGAAGCAGAGGGTGGGTTTCCATGGGCCACAGGTAGGCAAGGTACACTGCAGCCTTCACCTGTAGCACACAGGAGGGAGAGGGAGGCAGAGAGAGCCCCTGGAGGGAGGGATGAGTTGAGGCCAGGCAAGGCTCTCAGAAAACACGCCAATGGGCAGAGGGAACCACCACGAAGACCCCACAGGTTCTCCCTCTGTTCCTCCCAACAGGAGGTCCATCTCCTATACAATCCCCAATGAATTAGTATTCATATATTTTTTTTTCTTTTTTGAGACAAGAGTCTCAACTCTGTCACCCAGGCTAGACTGCAATGGTGTGATCTCAGCTCAACTGCAACCTCCGCCTCCCGGGTTCAAGTGATTCTCCTGCCTCAGCCTCCCAAATAGCTGGGACTGCAGGCACGTGCGATCACACCTGGCTACTTAAATTGTATTTTTAGTAGAAACAGGGTTTCACCGTGTTAGCCAGGATGGTCTTGATCTCCTGACCACATGATCCACCGTGCCCAGCATTCCTTACTTATTTTAGGACAGGGTCTTTTTCTTCATTGCTCATGTCACCCAGGCTGGAGTACACTGGCACAATCATGGCTCACTGCAGCCTTGAACTCCTAGGCTCAAGTAATCTCCCACCTCAGCCTCGCAAACAGCTGGACTATGGGTTTGTACCACCATGCCTTGTTAATTTTCCTATTTTTAAAGAACTAGAGTCTGGATATGTTGCAGAGGCTGATCTCAAACCCCTGGCCTCCAGCGATCCTCCCTCCTCGGTCTCCCA